AGTGGGCCTCAGCAGATGGCCGCTCACACTGAGCCTGGTTCTGCTGGAGGTTTCTTCCTGTTCAAAGGGAGTTTTCTATTCACTGTAAAATATGGTGGAGGTTCCATCATGCTTTGGGCCTGCGTTGCCATTGCTGGCACTGGGAATCTTGTTAAAGCTGAGGGTCGCATGGATTCCACTCAATATCAGCAGATTTTTGAGAATTATGTTAAAGAATCAGTTGGGAAGTCTAAGTTATGCCAGGGACGGATATTTCAGGGATACAATGATCCAAAACACCGCTCCACATCTACTCATGCATTCATGCAGAGTGTTCTGGAGCGGCCGCCCCAATCCACAGACCTGAGGATCATTGAACATCTGTGGGATGATGTGAAGCAGGCTGTCCGCGCTCAGCCACCATCAAACTAACCTGAACTGGAATAGTTCTGCAAAGAAGAAAATCCCTTCATCCAGGATCCAGGAACTCATTCAAAGCTACAGGAAGCCACTAGAGGCAAAAGGAGGATCTACTAAACATTAATGTCTCTTTTTTGCTGAGGTGCCCACATTTTTGCACCTGTCAACTTTTGTTTTAATGCATCCTGCACATTTTCTGTTAGTCCAATAAACCTAAACACTGAAATATTCAGTATTAGTCCATCAGTTATCAGATATATCAGACTGAAATAGCTGCTGCTAACACCCAAATATTTAGAAATTAAAATAATTAAGATTAAATAGGGGCGCCCAAACTTTTTCATGACTGTAGAGAAAGGAACAATAAGTTTCTGTTGGTTTGAAACCCTGCATCAATAATCGGACAGATGTAAACAAAGAGGCGGTTATTATTTAAATCTAACATTTCCATCAAACCAAAGCTCAGCTCAATGTTCAAATGAAATAATAACTGATCAATCAAACGAGAAGGTAAACAGCTGAAAGGGAAAATGTTTGGAGGTTAACAGGATGTTATTAGCCGTTAGCATGCTAGCTTCCATCAGTCCTGATGGAGCAGAGAAACAGGCAGAAAACTCACTAAAATAAAACCGATCAGAGGCTGAGCTCAGAGGAGCATCTTACCCCGCTTCTCCTTGGTCTTCCTCGGGATGTGGAACTTCTGGGGCTCCATCGGCATGTGCCGCTGGTGGACCGCCTGAGGAGCAGATTTCCTCCGCTCCAGCAGCCTCCCCGCCCCGGCGGAGCTCATTCTGCCCGCTGGAAGGTAGGGTCGTCGGGCAGGGGCTGCGGGGAGCAGCTCGCTGCCTTTCAGGCGGAGGTTAGCTCTACAGTCCGCGGCTCCTTTCCCTCCGGACATCCCGCTCTGCGCTCACGGCTGGCCGCCTGTCAGATCCGATCCTTCACCGGATGAAGAAGGACCGCTTGTTCGCTCAATCACCTCTGTTACCTCCCGAACCCGCAGCGGAGGATGGCAGCCCCGCACACAGCTCGCGCCATTCTTCCGGTACGCAGAACTGATCTTCTTCAGAGGCTGCTGGTTCATTAAAAGCTTCCCTACTGCCGCCTGCTGGACAAACAAGGCTACTGCAGCCTGATAACGGCCTTCTCAAAATAAAGAAAAACAAAATGATTTGAGTTTAGAAGATGGTTTGAACGGAGGATTAGGCCCACTGAAAAAAAAATAAAAATAAACATTTCTTTCAGTTTAATATGGGGAAAAAGCCAGAATTCAAACTTTTTTCTCAGAATTCTGAGTTTAATCTCAGAATTCTGACATTTTTCTCAGAATTCTGACTTTTATCTCAGAATTCTGACTTTTTTCTCAGAATTCTGACATTTTTCTCAGAATTCTGACTTTTATTCTCAGAATCCTGACTTTAATCTCAGAATTCTCAGAATTAATGGAGAAGCAGAAGGTCATTAAACAGAGCTAGTATCTAAAACAGACATGGCTATGGCTTGATGCTAACATGTTTGTTGGCTGTCAGAATTCTGAGAAAAAAGTCAGAATTCTAAGATTAAAGTCAGAATTCTGAGAAAAAAATTTAAATTCTGACTTTTTTCCCATGTTGAACTGAAATAAAATTAAAAAAATCAGTTAACTTTTTTTTTTTTTCCAGTGGCCCTAATCCTCTTTCGTAGTAGAGGATTAGGCCCAATGGCAAAATAAAAAAAGTTAACTGATTCAAAACATTTATTTCAGTATAATATGAGATAGAAGTCAGAATTCTGACTTTTTTTTTCTCAAATTTTTGACTTTTTTCCTCAGAGGTAAAACTCCCTTTGAACAGGAAGAAACCTCCAGCATGTGTAAGAGTCCGTATCGTGTTCTTGTGAATTGAGAAATGGCCACACTCTAATGACAAAAAAGAAGAAATATGGCACAGAAATAGCCAGATAAACCAGACTAAATGTGAGATTAAATGTGTAATCTAGTCTGACCCCGATAAATAAGACATCAGAAGATTGTTGATGAGAACAACCCTGTTTTTCAAGCCATGTCTGTGTCTATTGGCCAGCGCTCTGACCAATGAGAGCCACTGACTGTGACGTAGTAACGGCGACAGAAAGCCTGTCGGTAAAACGGCGAATACATCCTTCTTTAAATTAAATGAGCGTAGAGCCTCTTCCTGCTCACGCTTCAATGAAAACCCAAAGTCTAATCCTTCCAAACTGATTTCAAAGCTGAGTCAAACCAGAACTGTTCAATAGTTGCTGCCATCCTCCTTATTGTGTTTTCTCCAGCATCGCACAGCTTTGTCATCACGCCCTCAAACCCCGCCCACTTTGCATACAGAAATTCAAAACACATCTCTGCGTTGTGATTGGTCCGCCAGTTCTGGGGCCTGGGGCATTGATCGAGGCTAGACCACTGCAGGAAAAAATGATTGTGGCCGCTGGCGGGTGGGGATAGTTTACTAGGCTAGCACAGAAACACGTTTCAAATGTTTTTGGAAAACCACCACCAGTGAAGAGGAATACTAGCACCGCAACCATGACAACGGAGAGCAGACGGAGTGAGGAGACTGTCCGCCCGCCTCTGATGGCGGTCGCACCTGCAGGCCCGCCTCAGGCATCCGCAACCCAACCTAGCGTGAATGGCTTTGTCCAAAAAAAAAATTTGATCTTAGCCCCCCCCCCATACTGAGCTACAACAGAAGCAAAAAAGCAAACCTGAACTGAAAAGTTAAGGTATATTTTTCCCCAGAATTCATTTTCAGCTTTATCTTTTTTTATATATAATTCAGTTCTATTCAGTTTATTTCTATAGATCCAATTCTCATCATGTCATCTCAGGTCACTTTCCAGTTCACCAGATCATCCAGTCAGATTGATTCAAAGTTTCTATCTAAGGAAAACCAGCTGATTGCAT